AACTCCCTAAACCCTAAACTCCTTAAGCCCTAAACCCTGACCCTCCCTAAGCCCTAAACTCCCTAAACCCTGCCCCTCCCTAACCGGCCAGGCGAGCGTCCTGCGAAGAGGATCAAAGCCGAGCCCTCCCCCGAGCCCGCGCACGTTGCTAGCGGGCTGGGGCCTGGTCCGGTGACTCCTCCTCCCCCGCCGGGTGGGCTGCCAGAAAAGGCAGGGAGGGGGGTCTGCGTAAGCATTCTGGGGTTCCGGCTTGGGGTTTCGGGGGGTTTGGGACTGAGGATTTTAGGACTTGGGGTTTCAGGCCTGAGGCTTTTTGCTAGACCTTGCCCCTGCAGGTGCCGGAAGTGAAGGCGATGCCGCGGCCTCCGACGCCGATGGCGAAGCCGGTGAGCCACGATGCACCCGAGGTGACAGTGGCAAAGGAGGAGGACGAGGAGGAGCCTTCACCAGCTCAAAGTTGGCCAGACAAGAGTTGGTCTGGGCACCGGGACCGGGAACGGGAAGGCTGGGAAGGCCGGGAAGGCTGGGAAGGCTGGGAAGGCTGGGAAGGCGGATGGAGAGGCCATGACTGGAGCTCCCGCAGCAGCAGCAGCTGGGAGAATAACAGGTGGACGAGACCCGAAGACCCCGAGCCAACTCCACCGCCAGCCTGGCGGGCGAAGAAGGCTCAATCCAGGCGTCCGGCGGTTCCCAAAGACCCTCCGACTCCGAAGGCCAAAGCCAAAGCCAAGTACTACTCGCCGCCACCACAGCAGCAACGCCCAGCTGCGAAAGGAGGCAGGGCTTTCTTCAGCAACCCCCACACGACCTCACATATCGCTATAGGTATGGTGTAGGCTCTGCAAACGTGCATGGTTGCGAGGTGGAAAGGCCTTCCAGAAGGCAATTTCTTGGCTGGGCCAGACTATGCGAGCAAAGGCGGCAGCCCCTAAGCCGCCAGCCGCGGCGGTCAGCGCTGCTGTGCGCCCTGGACCGGTGACGGTGACGCGCTCCAAAGCGCCAAACGAGGCCGAAACGCAGAAAGCCCTTGTGTGTCCGTTGCAGCATGTCCCAGCTGACCAGCAGTCACAAGCTTGGGAGGCCCAGCGTCTTCGAAGTATCGCGAGCGAGCTAGTGAGCATGTTGAATGCTTCTTGGCAGCAGGTGAAACCCAGCTTTCCAGATGCATGCCTCCACAATCTACAATCTGCAGCAGATCTCAGCGCCTCCTGCAGGAGCCGAAGAAGATGAGGCTTTCCATGATCGCCCAGGATCTCTTGGCAACTGCAGACCGCCTGGATGCCTGAGAAAGGTGCAGCGATTAGCCAAGACTGGAGGGAGCTCGCCTTGCATCGACGGTCGTGGTTTTGTCGTCGTCCTCGTTGTCGTCATCGCAGTCTCATGCTGCTCTTCGCACTAACATGGTGGGCTTCTTGAAACTCGGGCTACTGTACAGACTGATTTCATTTATGTTGTGGAATTGTCTGAATATCAGCGAAACTTTGTCATTCCCCCTTTTCCACCATACCCTATAGAATCCTAGACGGCTTTGCAGTTGTTGTGTTCGTCTGAATCTGGTACTTTTCCTTCAGTCATGTAGTTCTTTGGAGCTCGGGAGGGCGCAAGACTTTCCCAGCAAAGCTCCCACTCACAACACCAGGAACTCGGCAAAGCACGATCAACTTTGAACGGCATACCAACTGGGTGAGCTCGGAGCGTTAGCACCCAATCCCTCGATTCTCTAAAGCTGCCCTCAGGTGCCTGGACTCGTTCGGCTGACCACTCACTCGGCTGGCTCTCGCTTGAAAACATGTGATGACCTGCCGCCTTGTGGCCTGCGACTGAATTCGGGGCGGTTTGGGAGAATGCTCTTAGGGCCTGTGTCGCGCTCCCCGCGCAGGCGACGATCGATCGGCCCTCAGATGCTCTGAAGGGTCCTGTGGGCAGTTCTCTAAGTCCGGGCCACTTGTTACGGTCTAAACTCAGTGGGCGGTGTCTGAACCTCCCTTGCGCAAAGCCTAAATGCTCAAGGAACCCTTCGAAGGCGCCCTGTGCAGTGTCCCTTCTAACTTACAGGAGCCCTTTAAAGGATCTCTTTATTAAAGGATCCCTTGCAGTACAGGAGCCCTTTAAAGGATCTCTTTATTAAAGGATCCCTTACAGTACAGGA